CGCGCCATTACAGCGCCAACCTACAAACAACCAAGCAAACTCTCACAACTTCAAAACACTCAATTGAATTTACTTACAGTGACTTTCCTCGCCATTTTAAAGTGAGCAGAGATGAACTTGCGTTGACTAATCGTCGATGGATGTGTAAAAGAGGCAAAAGATTGACAATTACCGCTAACTTTTAGGAGCGAAATTTAGGCAGTGGGGAAAAAATCCGGCCCGTGGGCCGCATCGTAAAAAGCTGGACCGGTCACGTGCGTATGATTAGCCAATCAAATTCGAGGATTAAGGATTTCGGCCCGCTCAGATGCTTGAGAAAAAAAATAATAGTTAATATCTACTGGAGCTAAACTGTTGCCATAAAACATGACTTTCTGTTCAATGAAAAGGTTAACGTACCTTTAAGCCTTCTCAGAAGCTTCTGTTCGTCTCGATTGCGATCTGGTTAAAAAAAATGGCCATTTTCGTGTTTTATATATTACTTATACAATCGTTAGAGTCGCAAGAAGAAAAGCTTTCAAGCAAATCCAATGTGATACCAGAAAAGGTAATTTCTTTTCGGAGAAATTTAAAAGCTAAGGTCCCACTGTCTAAGAACTCAACTCTACTGGACCTAAACTTTTGCCAGTTACAGCTAGTTATACAGATACGAAGCACATTTTATGCACAAGGACATTTATTTTGTGGTACATTATAACTTACCTTCTTCTCTTTGTTTGAAAATCTTATATTTTGTTTCCAGCCCTGAAAAATTCAATAAAACAACTAAAGCTTACCCTCACTAGTGGGTTTTCAAAACGACAGGCTATTGTACTAAAGCGTACGTTTTGAGTAAACGCCACAACCGTAACTTATGCATGTGTATCTGATGTCGACGGCGTCAGAGTTTTTGCTCTCCACCCTAATCCGATAGGGCTCCGTTGTCAAAAGTTTTTCCGACTCTGAGCAGCGTTTTAAATGCATGTATTTTCAATCGCATTAGTGTAGGCGGTAGGCGAAAACGCTGAACGTGCACCTAACCCCCAATTTTTTTTTTTTTTTTCCGCTAAAATGAATTTACTTGTTATTTGAAATACTTCTGCGAAAGCATTTTTGGATTCGTTTAAATCCTCGATTTTCTGTGCCCCGACGAAATCTCGAAAATAGCTCCAAAACAACGCCGTTTTGTTTCGCGACCGAGTTTGAGGAGAATGGGTTCAGCGGCTATTGTGACGTCTACCCAGGAAGGTTGAATATCTCACGCCCTCTCATTTCCTTCAGGATGGTGCAATACACATTCGAAAAGTGCGAAGAAACGCCTTCCAGAAGTGCTATCGGCTGTTGCAGCAATATCCCAGATTTAAAAAAAGATAAACTGTACAATTTACTGGCGATGATCGGTCAGTGGTACAATAAATACATAAACGAAGATTAATTTTGTCGAACCGAAACAAGCGAATTGAGTCTGTGAGAACCACTGAAGAACTCTCATTGGAATTTTTTCCGCAGTCTTTATGACGCTATTTTCCAAATTTTCCGCTTAAAGCCAACCAGCAGTTTGTAGAAATACTACTCCAATTCCGCAGTAACCGACAAAGTTGTGTGATCAAGAAGCGTTACTACCGATACACTGAATGTGAATAGGTCGCAACTGTACGCCGCCAACCAACACTTATTTCTCTTTCGATTTAGTTAAAATTCGAAGATTAATTTTTTTTTTAATTACATGATAACAAAATTGTTAGACTCACAGAGGTTTTCGAAGGTTTTGAAGGTTTTGAGCTTGACAATTTATTAAGTGACACCGTAGTCGCGTAAACATCAGAAAAAACAAGTTGAGATTTCATTGTTTTGTACCGGATATTTGATTGGCTGGAACTGAAAATGTTGGAATCTATTGTTTCAGTTCCGCCATCTGATTGGTTTTCATTGTCTGGGTGGCCCCGGTTTCAGTGAACGCACTGCAAAACGTGTGCCAATGTGAAATCGGTAACTGTATGAAATGCTTCCTTCCGCCTTGCTTCCCGCAGCTTCAAAAATACAGGTCCAAACAATTCTACGATTTTCAGTCGATCGAAGCCAGTGTTCTGGAGGTCATCAAGTCTCGAAAACTGCAACACTTACGTCGCTCTTATAAACATGAGGCATTCCAGAAAGTAAAACACAAACTGGATTTCATAGAACAACCATACCTTGACAAAATACATTCTCGCTAAGGACAAATGTAAACGGGCTATAAACACACGTGGGAATCTTGTGTTTAGGTGACGAGATTACCATCCAAAGCAGTCCTTGCGTTTTCTTTCCTGCTTTTCGTTTGTCTGCTCCTCCACGTCGTATCTAGCTTTCCATTCCTAATATACAAGCAGCCCGTCCGCAAAGAATTCTTCCCCGCCGTCGCTTGAAATATTGCAAATTGCCCTCAAAGCTCTGAGCATTGAGTTCACAGTTGTCGAAAGTGCTCGATTGAAGTTTATTTCGGAGTGTTGCGAATCGAAACTAAACTCTGACTCCAGTGACGAAAAGAAATGATTCTGAAAAAAAAAATTGGACGTTTTAGACCCAAAATATATTGGAACAATTAGTTTTGTTTTCCATTTTCTCGAGCAAATACAGAGAGCTGACTAGGGCATCATTGTGTTTGGTTCCTGGGTATAGGTCATCAGGAATCGCCGCCCCAAACTCCCTGAAACGCAGTCGCGCAACACTTTAAGCACGACTTTCAAAGGGCATAGAAAATCGAGGATTCAACCTAATTCAAATGTTTTTTTTCTGCCTGAAAGCTTTGAATAACAAGTGGATTCGTTTTAGCGAAAAAAGATGCTGGGCTTAGGTTCACTTTAAGAAAGTGTGCGTTCTCAAACAAAAATGCATTAGTGTGAACAGGGCCCAAATTATTATTAAATTAGGACTCTTTAACTTTATAATTTACGTAAACGTATCCTAAATTGGATCATAGCCGTGCGTTGGCTTTTCATTTTCTCCTACTGGGACTCTGTGGAAAAAGATAATTACCAGGTTTTGTAAAGGAAAGGTTTGTGTAAACAAAACAATCATTTACAAAATATCAAACTGGATGACTTGGCATAAATAAAACAACAAATTGTGTAATGCCAAAAATTGCCAATTAACCAAACAGTTAAAGTATGAACTGTAAATTTCTCTCAAGCTTTAGCCCGGGGTTTTGTTTTGGTCTAAGTTAAATCTTGTGTCCAATGGACTCTCTAACAACTTTCTAAGCAGCTAGAGATCTTTTTCCTTTGAGGTGGTGGGTGTTCAATAGTTATTAAGTTAACTCTTTTCATCTTCGAGGCTTCGTCCAGACTCAATCATCAAATTATGTTCATTAGGTAAGTTGCTTATATATAGTAGCTCCATCATTAATTACCTCACACATTGTCCACAGTGACATCACTAGATACAGAGATACAAGTACACGTACAAAGATCGTACAATTATAGCATTTATGGCCCTTGTATGAGTTAAACGTTCATTAAAAGAAGCACTTACCTCCATAAACCAGTATCGCTATAAAGGTCCCTGCCAAAGGAAATAGCACCAAGGCCCCTGCATCTGATAAAGCAAATTATTATACATTGAACTCACTCTGTCTTGTGTGAAACACGCAGTCACTATTGAAGTAGATGAGAATTACGATATGGCCACGATCGGATCACGGTTACGCAGTGTTCAAATCCCTCAACAACGCGCTCAAAGATTTGCCGCCTGACGGCCTGATAATTTTGGAATAATCCTAATAATTTTGGAATATTTTACAATCGAATGATAACTTTGACGTCAGTCTCAGTAGTCTTTATGACTGGGGTAGGTAGCCACGAAAATGGTGGGAGTTAACTAAGTCCTGCTGAATTAATTTTGCCATAAAGTCTCATAAAGTCTCGAAAGTCTCGAAAAGGCGGAGAATATTCCAACAAGCGAATTTGATCATTTCACCGGGATTTTACAATTTATAGATCCTTCCATGACATGCAGACGCCTAGGGATCGACCTTCAAAAACATTTTGCAATGGAAAGGAACCAAGCCAAATCGTACTAGTAAAAGGTCGTAATTACAGAATTGTCAAACTCTATTTGAAAACCATGAAAACATTTGCTGGAGCATGTCAAAAAGCTCTTCATGGAAGTGCGCTACAGTACATGGTGCCCTTTAGTGTCAAGCAAAAAAGTCAACAGAGTGATCTTTTAAAAAATAAAACATTAAATGTGGAAAAGTGAACAAACTGCAGGAGCCGTGTATAGGTGGTGTTGGGTCGTTCACCCTTAAGGCTGCAAGCCAGGAAAATGGGGTGTTCATTTGGACGGAAGGACCTTTCGTTGACAAGCTTAGAGGCGTTCTCTCGCCTTCCCGCGCAATGCTTCTCCCTTATAGAGTGTTTTTACGTGATGCCATTAATTTCTAAAATCTAACACTAAAGAGCCACCAAAGTTCTTTTCCTCTTAAGGCATAAGAAATGCTAAATTTATATCTTTTCACAGCTTCTCATTTAAATGAAAAGAACAATGGCTGTGCACGTGCGTTCAAATTCTTGGCACATTTCTTGCAATCCAATACCTCCAATATTGATGCAATCCAATACCTGGAATATTGTTTCAATCCAATACCTCGAATATTGATTCAATCCAATACCTCAAATATTGATGCAATCTTCCTGGGCCGAGCGCGGCCAACAGGAACGAGAGTAACTGA